CAGTCGCAGGGGTCGGTGGGTGGGTCATGGGGTCAGGGGGTCGGTCGATGTGTCATGGGTCGGTCGATAGGTGGGTCAGGGGGTCGATCGAGGGGTCATGGGTAGGTCAGTCGAGAAAGACGAGGCCACGCTGCTCCGCACACAGGTCAGTCGCGGGGGTCGGTGGGTGGGTCATGGGGTCGGTCGATGGGTGGGTCAGGGGGTCGTGCTCATAACTGTGTCTGAACTACAACAGGGAACTGCTGAAATTTTTATTTCCTAATCCTTGCTATTGTCATTATTCCTCTACTTCCTTTGTATGTTTGTCACTCTCTTGTGAACTGCTATTTCCGGGATGCCTTGAACGTCGAAGCAGACCTTGTGCTGTTGAAGCTAGAGAGCTGAGCAGAGTAAGTCTGATTCCCTGTAAGGACTTCTCTGTTGACACCCACCCCTTGGTGCTCATATGACCTTATGCAGTTGCGAGCACCGTAAAACCCTCTACTACTACTATAAAAAAACCAAAAAAAACCCCATCTTAATGGGTGGTTAACGGGTGCTCTGGTGTGGTTTTGACCCTTCTTTCCTATCAAACACCTATCGTCCTTATCTCTTCTCCTTTTTTGTGTATGTTACTCTCTTGTAACACCTATTCTTCAGCCACTTATATGACCTTATTGTGTTGCAAGTGTCGTAAAACTCTTACTGAAACTAAACTAAATCCCCCCCTCCCCCCGTGTGTTTCAGGTGGCTAAGCTGACGCGGCGTGTGCAGGTGATAGAGCAGGAGAACCAGAAGCGAGCGCACCGAGAGATCGTGGCCTACCCCATCATCCTCGGCTACTTCCTGTGGAAGATCCTGAGCTGGTTCACACGCGACCGGTGAAGCGTTCGGCGCGGCAGTGCTGATGGTGATGGTGATATCGCAGATACTCCTGGTGAAGGGGGGAGGGGGGTCGTGGTTTGGTAGGAAGAGAAGGAGCGAGGGGAAAGGGTGGGAGGGTTAAAAAAAAAGAAAGTTTGATTAAAGGAGTAGAGGAAGGGGTGTTGGGTGGAGGGGGGGGGGTGTTACTTTATATATATATAGACTGTGACTTTTTATATGGCATGTTTTGACATCCCTGGCGTTGATTTGAGAAAAAAGCTGGCGAGTCTGGGGGTGAGGTGATGAATACCCATGCATTTATTAAGTGATTTTGTGGTTGGGGGGAGGGAAGGGGAGGGGTGAGTGCGAGTGGTGGAAAGGCGGGAGGTGGGGGGAATGGTGTTGTACTCTGAAACGTATGTGAGGCATCGTGGTGAAATCAGGCGCTCATCAAAATAATGAAATCAAAGAAATTGACATTTTCATGGCTGATGGACAATGTTTTTATTTTTAAGAAAAAATTTTTTTGCTCAGCATGTTTGATGTCCGTTTAAAAACACATTTTTGTTTTGATTTAACTGGAAAAACATTGATTAAAACATTGATTAAAACATTGATTAAAACATTGATTAAAACATTGATTAAAACATTGATTAAAGACACAAAAATGTAAATTCTCAGTTTCCAAGGACTTTCAGTCTATGGAAGTTTCCAAACTTTGGCGACCATTTTCTCGCTAACTTTACCTCTGAAACCCTGACCCCCTTCAATCGCCAATATTTCGACCTCTATTCAACATAGATGGATATGTTATGTTTTTTCCCCCCAAAGGAAGGCAAGTGGAGAAGCTTCCAGATATACCCGTTACCCTGTATGTCCCAAAATTGACGAGCGCCTGATTCCACCACGTCATGACACACATATGTGAAGCGTGCTGACAAAATGAGTTACTTCTCCGATCCAAGCCTTATGGAAATAAATACACCATACTATTAGGTGAAGTTTTTTTTTTTTACAATTTATAAGTATGAAATAATAAAAGCCACGTCATACATAAAGAATATGGCATCAATAGAAAATCTACTAGTCTGACCCTATAGATCTAGCGTCGATTTTCGGCCAATATTTCCGTTTGTGGATTGCGAGAAGTTAACTCATTTTGTCTGCATGCTTCCCGTATGTCAGAATCCTGGTGCGTAGCTCCCTCGTATTGTATGAATTGTTTATGGTCACTGTTACTTGACACACTTGGATGCAACTGTTATGGTGGCAGTGGGTGGTCTAGTGGCTAGGCTGTTGAACTCTTTACCAAAAGGTCATGGGTTCAAACCCCATTGGGGGCCTGACGTTGTGTCCTTGGGAAAGGCACTGTTCGTGAATCTTCCTCACTTCATCCAGGTGGGAATGAGTACCTGGCTTTAGACGGTGAAAGATCTTGTCAGTTTGTCAGTGTTTGAGCGTTTAATTGGCTGCTTGCGCTGTATGCTTCCCGGGAAGTCGAGAATATTTCTGAGTGTTCTAGGTTCTGCTTGGCCAATGGTTTAGATATTAACATGTACAGAGCTTGCTGTAGAGTGTGGATATGTGTGTGGTATACAAATGCTATTTATTATTGTTGTACTTATTATTATTATTATTATTATTATTATTATTATTATTATTATTATTATTATTATTATTATTGTTATTGTTAACTGTTTTAGGGCTGAGAATGCAGATATGTGAGTTAAGACCTTCTCAATGTCGTGTTGTTGTTGGGTTTTTTTAATGCAAGCGAATGAAATGGGTTCTATTTTTGGGTTATTCCGTAAGTCGCTGACTTGTCTTTTTCACAGGACATTCAAATTAGGTGCTTGTGCTGGTCGCAATGCTAAACTAGAGAGTAGAAATGTATTAGATGGATCGTGAAGCGTCTTTTGCCGTGTCGTATTTTGCTCGTTGACTACGTACCCACCTGAGACGGAAACAGGTTGATGATGTCACGTTTTAGTTTTCCCCCCAAAGACTTTTGATTTCTGGAGGGGTAGGGTTCCAAGCTCAAACAACCAGGGGGGGGGGGGG